AATCAAGCCCCCCAGTGGCACAGCGGTACGTCTGCGGACTTACAACGCTAGAATCCGGGTTTCGATACTCCGCGGTGGGCAGAGCACAGATAGCCTATTGTGTAGCTTTGTGCATAACTACAAATAAAGCAGGGATCACTGGTGGTGTGCAAAGGTCCTCCAAGTGGTTGAAGGACTGGTTCAAAATGCAAGTCACTGATGTTGTTTTGCAAAAGCAGGTGGGACAGGATCTAGTCCGCGGGGTCTGTTGCCACATCAAACTGGTTCGCGGACGAAAAGAATTTAAGAACCTCTGGTCTGTCGTCGTACTGTCACATCTTGCTGTTCATGCTGGTTTTTTGTACTTAGAATCTGATCAAAATATTTTTACACGTACAAAAACTGCCAAATTACATCTTTCTGTGTACATCTGGTGGTGTGCGACGGTCCTCCAAGTGGTTAGAGGACTGGTCCAAAATGCAAGAGATGAGTTTCTTAATTTTGACTAATTGAGATGAAAACAGACTGCAAAAAAGCGTGCCGTACTGTGAACCCGAAGTTCCATAATATTGTTTGTGTCCCGTTGCCCCCCCTCGAAAAAAAAAACAAAAAAAAACTCGGTTCTCGGTACTTTGGAGGGCAGTGTGTGCTTTATATGACTTACGGTGAAATCTTTGTTATTTTCGTACACGTAGGATGTGTTGTTCAGATAACGTTTCTGTTGAGTAGATGTAAACTTTGAACTTCCTGAAAGAGTAATGTTTAATGTCTAGCTATTCTATACATGGAAACTATTAGTTTTTGTCCACTTACGAGTGTATCAGGCAAACTATAATATATATGTATTTTTTATGTTTAAAAAAAGTTAAATGCTTTTCATTACAAAATGGCCCGATTTTTTTTTTTGTATTACGTCTAGTGTTTATTTAGTAAAACTATTTTCTGAAATAAATCAGCTTTGTTCTTGTATTGGTTAAAATCGTAACTCATTGCGTCAGACAATTTACACGTTGTGACTTTGATACTGGAAAAGAGCAAACAGATAAAACAGCAATAATTTTATACTAATATTTGAATGCTTATTTTTTAAAATCTGTAACAGATATATTTCATCTAAATATGTTATATTATTTTGGAATTACTTTAAAAAATATTATTCCAACAAAAGTGGGATTCGAACGCCAGGTTTCTATTGAAACAGATGCATGGTATTTTTTTCTTTTCATTCATCAGAGATGAAAGATACTCCAAAATGTACACAAGCAATATTTCAAACACACAAACTAGTACACAACTCTACTACATAACTTGTCAACCTGTGATTTTCATAACTTATGTGAACTTGATTTCCTGGCCCGGCATGGCCAGGTGGTTAGGGCACTCGACTCGCAATCTGAGGGTCGCGGGTTCGAATCCCTCTCACACCAAACATGCTCGCCCTTTCAGCCGTGGGGACGTTATAATGTGACGGTCAATCCCAAGAGTTTGCGATGAGTGGTGATGACTAGCTGCCTTCCCTCTAGTCTTACACTGTTAAATTAGGGACGGCTAGCGCAGATAGCCCTCGTGAAGCTTTGCGCGAAATTCATAATAAACCATAAACCTGATTTCCTTGCAGTGCAACCAAACCAAAAAATAACATATCATTAAATAAACACGTATAACTGATTCTTGTATTTAAACCTCAACCAATCGAAATTAATTTGTTCTTCAGCTTAGCTTTATAATATGCTAGTAAGTGAGGCGTAGGATTACCATTTATAATTAATTATCTAGAAGTGGAAAGAATATACTTAGCCAAAGAAACATCATAAAACATAATGGGTTGTATCGAGCGTAATTAACCGAAATATCATAAAACAAACTTTACTTTGAGTAACAATTTTAAATAACTTTTTAATACAATTCCAAATAATTTGAACTTCTTTATATTCGAAATATAAATATTGAATAGTCTCACGGAATTTTCCACAATGATAAAATATATCATTATTAATTAAATTCACATTTCTTTAGTTTCGTATTAGTCGTAACAGATTTATATATATTACAAGATAATCGTCTTAGACCACTACACAATTCCCTCATTTCAATCTAGGTCCTTAAATCATCAGTTTTAACCTTGTGACTGCAATTCATCATTAAAACTATCAAAAAAGAATTAATATATGTGTTACAATTGTCAAACCCTGCTTAATATTCGTATCTGCCAATTGAATTTTGTTTCGTGTCGGACCTTTCTTTTTTTCACTATATATTTTGCCACATTTTGAGTTCCTATTTCACTTAATCTAAAACAGATTAGAAACTGGTGTTTTTAATGTATAGTAAAATTGTCTAGATCTGCGCAGAAACATAACAGATGTGGCATATCAGCGTCTGGAACAGTTATGATGATTCCCCCAAAAATTCGATCGTGTATATAGACTTACGGTAGTGTTACTCCATCTTGACTGGGGGGGGGGGGGGACTTTAGATTTTCGATACTGTAAGAAATCCTTGCGAGTTGACTTTAATTAGAAACGTTCCATGGAAACCTTTAAAATAAATTGATAAAATCAATCTATTTCAAATTAAGTAAATACTTGCTATTAACGTAATACCTTACATTAGGCCAGTATATTTATCAGTTCAATTTCTAAATTGAAAGGAAAAAAGTTTTTCATGGGGGGGATAATCCTACTTCTGGAGTTAACTGTGATTGTTCTTCAAGAAACTGTTTATATGTAGTCTAACTTGTAAGTTTATTTAAACATAATGCCCTCTAACTTTATTATTTACAGTCTACTAAATTATATACGTATTGATTCTTTTAATTTCGAAAGATAACTTGCAACGTCGACATTTAGCTGATAAGCTGAATTTTAACGTCGTATTCAAATTGGCACTGACTGTTTAGTATTATCGCTTTAAGCTCACGTGCCATGGAATGACGTGTGCAGACTTAAATTTATTCTCGTTAGAAAGGTGTTAGAAGCTGAAGACACTGTTCAGTGAACATTTTGGTAGTGGCAAGCATGTAAGAAAGTGAAATTTCTGAAATGAATGGAAGACGTATTAAAATTTGACATAGTCCCACCCTGAAGTAAAAATTAGGCGTATCGGTTGTTGAGCACCGTGAGACGAGCTTGCTAAAGAAAAGTGTAATTACCCATTTGATGTTGATATGTATAGATAGGTTTAAAGAATAGTTAGGGCTTTACCTCAATAACTTAGTATAACAAATGTGTGCATTGAAAAAAAAATTGCTTAAAGTTGTTGTTTGTCTTTATAGTCAATATAGATAAAACGTTTAAAATGTTTTATAACTCACGCGTGTTAAGTCGCGCCTTTCAAATGGAAATTATACTTACACGCTAACTGTTCTCGGGTATAATTTTCTCAAACATTCATTTAAAATATTCTTAAAAGTTCTTCCATTGTGGTGAGTGGCGCGGTTGTTACGTTTGCTTGATGCGCATGCACAGTTTAGTTTCATAACCCAAATCTCGATCTCGTTTATGATACTAGCAGAAATACTCGCCATCCGGGCTGGTATAACAGCTTGTTCCTATGGGAGGCTATTGGGTGTTCGGCCTTTGTCTGACAGTTCTTCAACAATACTTGACATTCAATAATGTTCACCATCCATGAGAAAAAAAAGGATTTTATTGAAATTTTAGTTTGAAAATGAACTATCATAACAGAGTAGATTTTATTGAAGTATTTTTTGTAGACGCAGTTATCGATGAAAGTACCTTGTTTTTCTGTGGCAACACTCGTGATATTTTCACTAAAGAAAAACAAATACTTTTTAAGTTTCTTTCTTTTTTAATTGTTTTATATTTGAAACTTACTTATTTTTTGTAATTTTTATTAGTTAAATCTGAAACTTATCATTTTTATGGAAATTTCAATTGGTTTATTTATTATTCAGCTATAAAAATGCTGCCTAGTTATAATAAATATTACCCAGTTATGATTGGTGATGATCGGTGCGGTAGTTTCCGAGATCCGAGTTTTGGACTTATACATCGCAAGCTTCATTATAATAAGATTCTTTTGACGACCATATTTCTCACGTTTGAACATTTTTAAATAAGAACACCACGTTTCATGATATTTTGCTAGTATTAATTATCGAATGAATAAAGCTTAAAAGTTGTAGCAGCTTTAGCAATTATGAAACTAAAACCAGCCATTAGTAAACATCCGGTTATCCCCACAAGCCCATCGGTTCAGTAACAATAATATCTGACTTACCTACTGCGCGTAATTATGAAACGACTTTAGTGTACTGGGTTGAACATATTTCATACTTGAAATACACGCGTTTGTTAAATTAATTAGGTATAGCCAACGCCCTCTACTCGTCACATAAGTTTTGCAAATATTGTTTGAAATTATTTGCATTGAACTAATGGCACATTGGCATGTATGACAAAACATTTTAGGTAGTACGAAAAATACAACTGGGGCGTTGCGTGGGGCTGATGCACGTTGCTTTATAGAGTACAACTGAGGAGATATTTTTAGTGCAACAAAGAAATTGCAAGGAGTGTATGATACTGTTCACTCGTTTTATGATTATAAAGTTTAAGGCAGGTGAACGTGCTTGATTGTCTAGGCTTGGATGCATGAGTATTACGGGAACGGACGCTACTGATACAGTAACGGAGTTATCTGTCATCGCTGTCGTGCTAAAGTTGACAGTGAATCTCATTAAGACGTGTTCATATTTATAGGCTTAGCAATCGGTTGCTTAAGATATTGCTATAGCTTTCGTAATATTTCTTATGCTCCAGGACAGAACAGGCAGTGGTCCCCCTAGAAGGGGCTTATTGACTGTTATGCCTTTTTTTCTATCAATAATGGTAATAGCAAGAAAAGTATCTATACCATCCATTCAGGCCCCTTTTAATCGCCGGGACTTTGGCCAATTCCCTCCCCCCCCCAAAAAAAAAATCCACTGTCGGCTGGTCTGTGTCCGATATTAAATCCATACTGACTCCGCGTTATTAATAAACGTAGAAGCTATAGCCAGACTTTGGTATTTCTAGATCCGTGAGGTTGTAGGAAGACCGATTCAAAATAGTTTTGCCTGTTTGAAAGACTACACCATAACTTGGTTTGTAATCATTTACTAAACTTATCTCTTCATACTTTAGTTTCTTGGATGTTATAAGAAATGGGCGTAGACAGGCTGGGTTCCTGTCGCCTAGGCGTCCACATTTTTCAGAGAGAGAAAATCTTTCTAGCTATAATTTGGTAAAGCAAAACAAGTCATGTTTATGGTGGTAGATAGCTGCCATGTTTCCAGTCAGGAAAAGCATTCCTTACACATTATTTGAAAATATGCTCTACGATGAGTCATTTTTGTCACTTTCTATTAAAAAGGGAATAATGAATGTATGATTATAACAAGCATTCATCCACACATGCCTTATTGTAGCCTTCTCTATAGGTACAAGCTAAAAGGTACGTACTTTGATAAATTTATGCTGTCATATTTTCCATACGAAGTGAATGTTATACGTATATTGGTGGATTTTACATAAAATTTGTTAGCTATAATTGCAAATGGTGTCTGTTATTGCATCTGTGATACCTGATACCTTAAAATTGAGTCACATATTATATTGTCGCTGCGCCATTTTTGAACGATATTTTCAAAGTTCAGCTTGCAGAGGTTTTACATCCCAGCCTCTTAGAAGCAAGCAGATGTTCTTGTGTTTCTAAAGGAAGGCAAACCAGTGAATAAACCAAAAGCTACTGACCAATTAGTCTGACTAGTTGTGTAGGCAAGATTTTATAAAGTATTGGCAGTAGGAACTCCACTTTTCTGGAAATCACATCAAAATTATCATGAGTTCAAAATGGTTTCAGAAAATATTGGCAAACAACAGATCATTTAGTTAGGTTAATGGAAATCATAATTGAGAATTTTTAACCAAAAGAAATTCACTGTTGCCTGCTTTCTCGATATAGAGAAAGCATTTGACACTGTATAGCATAATGGTTTAAATATAAATTGAAACAATTAGAATTACCAACAAATGTTATTCGCTGGTTGTTTAATTTCTCTGAGTAATGCCTGTTTCCTAATTGTTTACTTTTTTAAAAAGAGTAATGCCCGTTTCCCAATTGTTGACTTTTTTTAAAAAAGAGTAATGCCTGTTTCCCAATTGTTTACTTTTTAAAAAAAGTAATGCCCGTTTCCCAATTGTTTACTTTTTTAAAAAAGAGTAATGCCTGTTTCCCAATTGTTTACTTTTTAAAAAAAG